TCGTGGTCAGAGTAGACTTTAAAGTGCTTTCCTAGGAGATAGTGTCGCCGGTGGTTCAGTGCCTCCCTCAAGGCGAACAGCTCGCACTCATACGTCGACGCAGCGACCTTCTCACTAGGCAATCTGCAAGACATGAACTCGACGGGCCAGTACTCCCATCCATCATTCTGCTGGAGTACGGTGTCATTTCCATATTGGCTTGCGCCAGTCGTGACAATGAATGGAAGTTACGGGTCTGCAACTTTCAAGACCAGGTACTCAATCAATGACTTCGTCAATTTCTTGAAGGGTGAGGTATAGTCTTTGTCCCAATTCCAAACATTTTCCTTCCTCAGCAGTTTACGCAGTGGTGCAACGATCATTGTGATGTTCTGTACGAACTTTCAGTAGTCATTGGCTAATCCTAAGAACGACCGCAGTTCGGTCAATGTGTGCGGTGTTGGCCAATCCCTGATTGTTGCTATCTTCCTGTCTTCTGGTCTGACTCCATCTCCATCTAACACGTGGCCTAAATATAGCACTTGACGTGTCGTCTTCGGGTTCACCTGGAACTTTGCAGTGCGCAACTTTTCTAAGATCAAATGCAGATGCCGCTGGTGCTCCTCTTAAAAGTCTTACTAAAAATCAAATATCGTCTAGATAAACGGCATGACCACAAATTGGTAGTGGCCATAGCGAGTTCGTCTTGTGCTGGTCTTCGGGCTGTACCTCTATCTGATGGTAGCCCGACTTCCAAGTCAATATTGGAAAAACTACTTGCATCCCTGCACCCTATCCAACAGATCATCGATTCTAGGCAAAGGTTCGATGTTTTTCACCGTAATCGCGTTCAAACCCTTGTAGTCACATGCGCAGTTCACCCTCCTTTTTAGGCACGAACAGGACCGGTGCGCCATATGGTGAGGAGCTGGGCTTAATCCACCCCTTTTCTATCAATTCATCAAGCTGCCTGCGCAGCTCGTCGAGTTCTTTGGGAGACATTCAATAAATGGGCCCCTTGGGTGTTTTGCTACCGCGCTCTATCTCTATCCGGTGCTTGATTTCCCTTTCCACTACTCCTGCTGGGGTCTCTCCCAAATCAGCGAACTCTTTCAGCAGTTTTTCAGCTGCGGGTGGCGTTTGCTCCTCCTCCTTGTTGCCTTCACTAACCGGTCTAACGTACGCTACGAAGACTTGGTCAACCAAATCGGCCTTGACCACGTGCCTGGTGAACGCAGGGGCACTCGTTCAGCAAAGGGACAAACTGGACTACTCCAGACTCATGAAACAACCACATTTTCTCTTTGCCTCCTTCAGGGCTGGTGTCTCATACCGTAAAGGTGCAGACCAGATCTCTCTCTCTCTCTCTCTCTCTCTCTCTCTCTCTCTCTCTCTCTCTCTCTCTCTCTCTCTCTC